CATTCTGAAGAAAACTTGAAGATAAGCGAAACGGTACGAAGAAAAACGTACAGAGTGTCCCATAAATAACTTGGTAATAAGAAATATTAATTACTTTAAAAAATTTCCGTCGCCTCGCAAACCCAAACAAAAGGGTTTCCGAGTTTCCGAAACCAAAAAAGGTTTTCGGATCAATCCGAAAAACCCTTAAAAGGTTTTTCAAAGATGAAAATAGGTTTTCGGAGTTCGGAAACCTTTAAAGCGTTTCCAATAGTAGCAAACCCGGAAACCTTCAAGGGTTTCCAAAAAAAGCGACTGGTTTCCGACTTTCGGAAACCTTTGTCGGATTGCGAGTTTTGTTACCACCGGAAACGCTTTAAAGGTTTCCGAACTCCGGAAATCTATTTTTCATCTTTGAGAAACCTTTTTTGGATTCCGAAACTTGGTAACCCTTTTTTGGGTTTACGAGGCGACGGAAATTTTTTAGAGTGATATGGGGTGTGGGTGTGTTTGTGGGTGCGGGTTTGGGTGTGTGGATGTGGGTGAAGAGTATATTCAGACCCACAACCACACCCACGCCCACACACCCACACCCATACACCCACACCCACACCCACACACCCAACCTACACCCACACCCCTTACCCACGGCCACACTCCCACACCCACACCCCACATCGCCACGAACCCATTTTGAGTTTCCTTCCGTATCACCCTTCCTTCAGTCGAGGGAATATCGTTATTTTCTCCAAAAACCCTTCCCGTGACCCTAAAAACTCAATTCAAAATTTTGAAAAACTAACTTCAGATTCGGATTTCCCGACCCCGATTTATAGAAGTACAGAAGATGTTCTTTTGACCCTGGCAAACATCGCCACAAACGCATTTTGAGTTTTTTTCCGTATCACCCTCCCTTCAGTGGATGGAATATGTAACAAGAGTATGATACTTTGAATCTATTTTATTTCAGGCTATATGATATATTAAACCCGAAAAAGTTAATAGGTCCTGACGGTTTAAGTAATAGTGGGGTAAAGTGAAGCATTACGTCTTTATTATCAGACAGTCTCATATGAAATGAACAGAAACTAATACACTCCAGACAGATGTCAATACTAGACTCTGCATAGCTAAGAATTTACAAAAAATAACTTTGACTTAACCGCTAAGTAAGCTGAAGTGTGAAGCCTTTGTTGTTCCCTTTTAGGCAACTTTATTATGTAGTTCATCGATCATGCCCAGAGCGAAAGTCAGTATTTCAGAAAAAGTGCCAAATCGTTTTTGACATCGAAATCTTCGTCGGTAGACTAAAAGAACACAAAGAGACAGGTTTTCCACAATTTCTAAAGCCAGCTATGAAGATAGGATCAATTTTCTTGTCATATCCTTTGATGTGCATTGATAATCATGTTTCGGAAATGCTCCTTAATGATGAAACAGAAGTCCTAAGTAATTAGTGTAGCGATTCAGTGAAATGCATGACTCATATGAGATAAGAAAAGACAATGATGATTCATGCCGGTCTACCGGCCGGTCCGGTCTAACCGGTTTAGACCGGTGCCGGTACCGGTCTAGAAAAACCCTACCGGTTGCAACACTGGTGTGGATAGAATGATTTTGGTTACAATTGTAGGAAGAATATAGGTAGTAGTACTATTAAGGTAGTGTAATTGGTTGATGATTATGGATGGGGATATTTAGATATTATGAATAAGAATTGCAGCCAAGTACCTTGTTTGGTATTGATAGAAAAATCTCTATATAAGTTAATTGAAAGTTCGGTAGAATTGTTGGTATATGTTCATATTGTCGATTTGTAAGATAATCGTCATGCGGTAACTGTTCTAATCTTGTGTGTGCGTTTTCGAAGATATCCTAGAAATGATCGTAAGTTTTGAATTTATAATAGTAATTTTTATGAATGAATGTTTAAATTGGGATGTATGTAATATATTCGGATGATTTCCAGGTAAAAGGATTTGTTTTATAGGGAGGAAATGGATAATGTTTTTATGATTAATGCGGGAGATAATAGTTATGTTAATTGATAGGTTGTGGGTAACATGTTCTGCGTGAATTAGTCATTGTGTTACGCGTTAGGATCGAAGGTATCAAAAAAATGGGAGATAGCATACCGATGAACATATTGAAGTAATTGGAGTTTTTTGTCTAAAAATGATTCTTGATCCTCGTCAGGATCCTTCTGATTAACAGTTTCTTCATTTTGATTGTGTTCTTCAGGAGATCATTGAGTGAACTGTTGACTGTTCATAGATATTGAAATGGATAATATAATTTATCTAGAATAAAAGAATGAGAAAAAAATGGAAAAGGAATGAATGAATGCCATGAGTAACTAGAATAATCTACTACATGATTGAAAGGAAAAGAACATGTATAATGAAAAATGGTTTGTAGAAAAGTTATGATATCATTTTAAGATGTTTCCATTGCTGTTGTTGTTGGAATAGTGTTAGCCAGTTTTGTTAATAATGTTTTAGAGAAGGTGTCTTTTTCACCAATACACGTTCCCATGATGGATTGCTTCGTGTTTCAAGTATTAGGCGAACATCATTTAATGATGATTGCTTATAGCAGAAATGCTTTTGCCATAATTTTCGAAATTCACGATTAAATTTTAATAATGGACTGCTTTCAAATCAATAATGAATAATTCATTTTTTTGTTTTCTTTTGATTTTGTCATTCATCTTCTTTGTTTGGGGTGGTTGTTCTAGTTGGTTTTGTTTCCCATTACTTTTCGTTGATTCATCAAGTAACAATTCATGTATTTGTTGATATTTTTCACTGTCTAACTCTTTGTATATACTTAGGTCAGTCCAACAGTAGTGGCTGTGACACTTTAATGCCGTATAGTGCAGTTAAAGAAACTTTCTTTCAAGATAGTCTGATAGAGAAAAACAAGCTCTATCTTTATCTTTCTATGCTATTTGATTATACTTCACACAGTATAGTGGTAATAAATTTTCGATAAGATTTGTTACATTATTATGTGTGCTCGTTATAACTTTGCATTGCAGTTTTTGATTCCTTTATAAATCTTCTTAAAAAGCAGAATACACGGTACCACGCAGCGTGAAAAGCTCTACAAGTTGCATAGGACTACTTATTTTACAGTTGCAATTTTTGTTTCCACAATAGACAAAATTTGGGCGATCAAACTTCTACTATGGGAAAAAGATAACTTTTTTCATACATAACAAATACACTTTTTGTTCTTTCATCGCTTCATCACGACAATGCTTTCTCAGAAGAAAAATAAAATACACCACAAGGTGCGTTGTGAAAAGCTCTAAAATCTACACAGTAAAGTTTATTGTACTTGTTTTCAAAAAGAGAAAGTTCTCTGCGATCAATTTTTGCAATGCTTAAAATATTATCTCTCAAAACTTTGTTCATTTTGAGAAGAAAAAGTGCAACCGTGAAACAGGTGGTGTTGTATAAATGATAGGGCTTTCCGCACCGCATCTTGCAATATGTTTTGATCGTTGGTGCAATATGTTAAGTGACGGAAAATTAACGAATCCCACTCGTTATGATCTAGTATAACGAGCACAAAGGATGACGAAACGAATCTTATCGAAAATTTATTCCCACTATTTTGTGTGAAGTATGATCAAATAGCATAGAAAGATAGAGCTTGTTTTTCTCTATCAGACTATCTTGAAAGAAAATTTCTTTAACTGTACTATACAGTATTAAAGTGTCACCGCCACTACTTTTGGAGTGACTTAAGTACCATTCGAAAAGCCATTATCATTGAAACATTGTTTCGAATTAATTCCATTATTTGAATAATATTGTTTTAAATCAATCCTATTATTCGAAAAGTTATTGAAATATGGTTTTGAATTATGAAACATTAATTTGAATTAATTCCTTTATTCGAAAAATATTTACCATCAAAATAATGTTTCGAAATACCTATAATTAGTTTGAATTAATTTCATTACTTAAACCTATTTTGAATCTATTCAATTTTCTAATTGGAAAAATATTATTACTGAATAACTGCTTTAATTATTTTTTTCCGTTTTACGATGATATTCCAAACCTATTCCACTTCATAATCATTATCCGATCCCCTTATTCATTCAAAAAATCGTCGATTCAACCTTTGACAATCTTTTGATTGCCTGCCATCTACTATCTATTCAAGTTTAATCGAACTAACCCCTAACTATCTTTTCTTAACCCAGTTTCGTTTTTATTCTTCTTTCTTTAATGCTTACTAATGCAGAGCCCTGATGAGTGTTTAAATTTTTAAAATTTCTAAATAAATAACCAGAAACGCGTCGGCGAATTAACTCTGCATTTACTTTATTCAATTTGTACTCGTATGTTATTTGAAAATTCATTTGAAATTCGACAAAAATTGTTTGCTGAAAAGCAAAAGTTGAGAACCAGCGAATTGATTTGTTTTCCAGTTGAAACATAGGTCAATTCGTTTTCGATTGATTGATCTTGGTTTGGCGACAAACGCGAGACAGTCATATGTTGATAGAAAATGTTCCTTTTACCCGGCATAGGCAAACAAACGCACCCATTTTCATTTTTTTTCGTATCGCCCTACCTTCAGTCGAGGCAATATTGTATGTGTAACAATGTCTCCTCCTAAATCAGATAAATGTGACCATTATTTGATGAATTTTTGGCCCAGTAAGCCATTGAATAAAACGCCGCATAACACGGCAAACTTTTCAAAAAATACGTGTTGATTCACATGCATCTTGAAATGAAAAATATTCGAATCATTCATGTTAATTTGTCAAATGTTAAAATTTTATTTCTATTTTCTGCATTCTAGAACATTACTAATGAGTGAAAAATTGGTTTCTTATTCCTGTCTGTATTTGATTATAGTTAGACTAAATTTCCATAACATTGTTCTTCTGAACAAGGACCAACTGGAAACGTATTTGGTATGATTAGAGTTTCTGTCGTCAAATTCAATGCTGTGCCATGAGGTCCAGGAAATGTCGCTTGCATTAATATCCCGTACCAGTAACCGTCTGGTGGCATAGGTGCAGTATAAGTGTAGATAATTGATGACTGACCAACCTTTGACTATAGAAATAAATAAATATAACTAAAAACTATCAAAATTATTTCATACAATTTCCATATTTTCTTTCATTTCCACCCATTTGACAGGATTAACAACAATCTGTCCAGTGGTTGGATCCAGTTTAGCTGCTCGAAAATCTCGTCTATGAACAAAACATTCAATGAAACTACTGTTTTGTCTATCTGAAATATACTTTGTTCCAGTAACAGTTTGAGCTTGATAAACAGTAACATTTATCGGTGCTGGATGTCCATCACCAACAGAGACATTAGCACGAATTTGTCCATGAGTTTCATTTATTGTTCGTGTCCATGCCCATGATGGAAGCACTTGTTGCTAGTTGTTTTTTTAACTATTTCATTTAAATTTATGCATTAAATATCAACTTACATCACAAATACTAAAATAAAAACTTTCAAGGCTATCAAAAACTCCTGTAGCTCCATGATCAGCATTTGGAATTCGGCTACAAAAAAATGATGTATATTTAGCTTTTGTTCTCAAGTTATATTTATTTTACTAGAGGTAAGAGCCACCTGTTGCTTTTTGAAGATCATTCCAAAAATAGTCCTATAAATATTTATCTAATATCTCCATTAGTTATTTAATATGTTAGAAATACATGGGGCACTCCAAAAGTTTTTTCACCCCTCTCTTCTGAAAGATTTGACGAAGAACTAATTATATTGTTATAATGTCCAGATATACTTGAGATTATGTGCAAAATACAGACTTCTGAGTCTTATGTTTTGTTGTAGTATAGTCTATTATTCCTTTTATACTACCATTAATGAGTCGGATTAAATGGTCAGACTGTGTATATTATTTTTCTATCCTTTAATAAATAGTTTTTGACGCAACAAAATAGACAGGAAGATACAGCATGAAAAGCTCTACAATTCACATAGGGTCCTTCTTTTGATAGTTGCACGATTTGGTTTCAAAATGTACAAAATTTTGAACAACCGTATTTCGACCCTGTTTAAACAATATTTTCCATGATCATTTTTTTTTCATATGTTACCTTTTCACTACCTAATATCTTTTCGTAAGTAAAGACAAAATACGACGAAAAATGCAGCTTGAAAAGTTCTACAATCTGCATAAGTAGTACAAAATATTGAACAAGAAAAAATGGGATTCTTGCTTGTATTATATTTTCCCATACCATCGAAGTTTAATCGCTCAGAGTTTTGTCTATTTTGAAACCAAAACGTACAACTATTAAAAGAGTGATCTTATGTGAATTGTAGAGCTTTTCACACTGCATCTTTCTATATATTTTGTCCGTTTAAAAACTACTTTCTAAAGAGTTGAAAAATGATATAAAAAGTGCGAGCATTCAACTCTCTATATGACATATTGAAAACTGTTTGTACCTAGTATAAAAGAAACGATAGACTACAATAAAGCATGAGAGTCAGAAGTCTGAAATTTTGCATATAATTCTAGGTATGTCTGGTCATTATAACAATGTAATTAGTTCTTCGTCAAATCTTTCAGAGGGATCGGGCGAAAAATTTTTTGAGTGCCCTATGTAAATAACCTCGCTATCAGATAAAAAGAATTCATCATCAGCTCCTTGAAATTGACACAATGTAACATTATGATATCGATCAAAATAAGCTAAATTATCAAAATAATATTTTATATACATTAATGTAGACTCTTACCGTAAGGATCAAAAATATCAGCCGCAACTTGATAATATGGATTATCCAAAGACCTAGTTATATTCTCCACATAGTAAGAATACAAAGCAAATGTCCATCCATCAAGAGACTTGCAAAAGACATTTTAATTAGTCTCATAGAAAATCTTTCATACATACTTGATAGTGATGCTTCATATTCTAAAAAAGCAATAATTCTTATATTAAAGTCAATATTTTATTTGTACCTTTTGAAGATTTAAAAGATCAAAAACGACGGGCATAGCTGCCACAACACGGTTATTGTCTACAGCTGCCGTTAACCATGCTATTCAAAAAGAAAATCGTTTATCATCTCACAAGGGAAGACCATCAACTGTTCAATCGCTTTTGAGCCACGAAGATATTATACTTCTACAGTATTTTTTTAAAATGAATGCTGTGATATCTCTCAGGAGAACTACGGTATTTATTTAAAAATATTGCAAAAGTGCAATATCTCTGTAGCAATAAGCTAAGGGCACGAACTTTTTTTCAGGATACTCATAATTCATTTTGGTCTACATAATACACATAGTCTCGGCTAAGAAGCAATTGACCAGTTGGTGATCTTTCCTCGTCAGAAAAAAGCTTACTTGTCCATCCACGCTAAAAAAAAGCAATCAAGAAGAATTTTACAGATTCTTTTCTAGTCATTAAATTGATTTACTTTCGACCCACCAGTAACGACAAACTTCTCTGGTACTGGAATTTCTTTTTCACGAAGAAACTGTTGTGCTGCATCCATTGCACGCACTGATGCCTTTAAAATAAAGATTAATATTTTAATAGAATATAAACACAAATTTGTAGTTGATTCAACTTACTTTTGTCATAGGTAGTAGAAGAAGAACAGATGGATCACTACCGTTTGATTGAATAAATGTATTCCAAGTCCATGCGAGAATATCATCCTCAAATCGAGATTTCTGCGATGGATCGGCCTTTTTATATAGGAAAATCGAACAAAATTTCATAATATATAAATATTGAACTTTTTTTTTACCACAAATGTTATTGGTTGACTCGGAATTTGTTTAACTTCCACAGCAACAGTACCAGTTTTCACACTGATTTTTTCTCCCCAAGAGTCTCTTATTGGCACTCTGATTTCATAAAAAATGTAGATTATATATCCCTAATGACGATTGAAAGATCTTACGGATCGAGATTAGTTTCACCACCAATAAGCATGTACGCAGTTTTTGGTCGACTGTGTATTCTCGGTACCGTAATAACCATATAATGCCACCAGATTGATCGGGATGAGAAGGAAGCTAAAAACAAAGTAATTTTTATGAAAAATATTTTTCTAATTTCTATGATTATACCATCGAACCATTGTTGTGAAGTCATATTAAGTATATAAACTGTATGAGTCAATTCGTAGTGCGTTTTAATAAGTTTCCAAGCAAAGACAGGATCTGGTTTGTTAACATAATCATCTAGTGGAGTAGAATTGTTGATATATATGATAGAGACAACCGTAACGAATCTCAAGAGTATTCGACACATGTTTGAAAATGATGAAACTTTGAATATTGTTTCAATTATTTATATGAAAGAAATAGTGCTGTTAATCCTTTTTTATAATTGAAGCTTATACGTTGATTTTAAGTTTTTATTGTTCTCGTAAATATGTGTTTAGAGGGATATATCGAGTTTCTGCTCTTTTTTCATTTAATGAATCTAATGCTATAAGAGAGCCTGAAATAACCGTTCTACTAAATATAAAAGATATACTTCAGATATCCGACAAGAATGAAAACAAAAAAAAAACAAATGAATGCATGTGTGAGATAGTACTTGTAACATTATGAACATTTACTTTTTAGATAAAACATTTTATTTTTTGACAAACTGAAGTCACATTACAGTTCGCCAATCTTTTTAAAGACTTTCAACGAGGATGAGGCGTGAGTTTAAAATAATTTAATAGAAAGAGATGAAAGATTAGTTTTTAACAGCAGCTTAATTTTATCTAATTTATTCAAGTTATTTATTCATAAACCTATTTGTCGACGTTTCGACATATCTAATATCATTGTCAAGACAGGTGGAATTAGATTTTAGAGAGAAAAATAAAAGGAATTTATAGTATATATATGTGTTATATGAGTCATTAGTAGGAAAACTATTGGTTTATCCTTTCTTTCAATAGAAATTAGGATAACCAACATCACTATCAGTTGTTGAAATAGTTAAATATGCGCATATTTAACTATTTGCCCGGCCCGTGGTCTATCAATTATCACTGACTTAATTTTGACTGTTGGTTTGAATATTTGCAGGCCTTCAGGGTAAACTATTAAAGGGGCTGAACAAACAGTTCGATTTAAACTAGGTTTGTTATGAAGAATTTGTAATGATTTACGGATTAACAATTGATATTTTTTACAATCTTTTGAGATTATTTTCCAATCATCCCAATTGATTGTGTGATTCTTATTGATTTGATGTTTATATAGGGCTGATTTCATTAGTTGTTCTTCAATTGTGACTTGAAGATTATCATTACAATTCTTTTCGTTGGAAAAATAGTTTACTTTAGCTTTGGCTTGAAGGCGATCAGATCTTCTTAACTGTTGATTATCTACTGCTGAAGTAGCTATTTGTGAAGTAGATGGTAATTTAGGTTGTTGTGCGGCACCATGTTCCTGATGTCGTCTCGAAGTCTGTCTAATAGTTTTTCCTATATAGCTTTCATTGCACTCTAAACATGATATCATATAGACTATATTTGATAAGCATTTTCTCCTATATTATCTTTCTGTGGAAAGAAAGTAGATATTGCTGGTGGAGATCGAGAAATCGGTTGTATATGAAGATCAGGCCTAATATTTTTAGCTAGATTGATAATCTTTTTCCTTAAGATTTTAGTTTCATTTCCAATGAATGGTAAATCTATAAAGATTTATTCTTTTTTTATATCTTTGCTTTCTGACTCCTTAGTTTTCGTTGATGTTTTCTTTGATATTTTTGATCGTTCAAAATATCTATTAAGTACTTTTCTAATTTGATTTTGAACGAATTTCAATGGATAACCATTTTTTACAGCTAGATCTTGGATATAATCAAATTCAGCATGCATCAATGAATAAGAAGAGCAAATCTTGATTGCTCTGTAAATCATTGAAGTGATAGCTGAGACTTTCTAAGAATGAGGGACATAGGAACTCCATTTTAACAGTAAACCAGTAAACGTAGGTTTACGATAGATAGATGTTGAGAATGAGTTTGGTTTAGATATATTTGATATTGTTTGAAAAAATTCAGGTAAACGCTTTTAAATATGTTCACGAGCTAATATTTGAGATTCGTTATGTGTTGAATGTTGTAAAGCAAGGACAAGAAAAAGTTCTTGTACTTGGTTTACTTTAAGTAATTTACATAGCGATTTAAAATATTCTGATGAAAATTTTATAGATTTATCTGAGATAGCCTTATCAAAAATATGACAAATTTTTTCTAAATTATTTTGATCAATTGATTGTAAATCCAGATAAACTATTAAGCATCGACATAAATGTTGTTCAGTTTCAGATTCATGCTCAGATATAAGATTAGATATTTCTATAGCCCAATTTTTTAAATTATTTTTAAATCTTCCATCTGTTGGTTGTATTGAGGTTAAAGAATTAGTAGAATCTGACAACTGGTCTGTTGATGATGGATAAAGAATAGGTAAAAATCGTAATAGGTTCTGATTATTCAATTTATCTCTTGGATATTCTTTCTTAAGTAAATTAAGAAATTGTTCATAATGGTCAACTTTAATAAGTGGTATATATTCTTGAATTTGTATTAAAAATGAGCGAAGTGCTTTCACAGGTAAATCAATTAAACCTGTGTTATTGAGGTTATTAGCTGTTCTAGTTATTAGTATATCAAGAAAAAGGAGAGAGTTGTTTTTCTCTGTTTCAACTGTAAATTGTATATCAGTATCAAAACTATTTAGAATATCTAATAACTTGTTAATATTGGCATTTTCATCAACTAATACGAAACTATCATCCACAAATCGTCTCCAATATATTACTCCATTTTGTTTTAATCTACGTTTTAATTTAGATTCTAAATAATTTATATAAATGTCAGCAAATAAGGGTCCCAAAGGACTACCCATTGCTATTCTCTCCATCTGACAATAAGTTTTTCCGTTGAATATAAAATGGGATTCTTTTGTTGAAATATCTAATAACCATTTTAATTCATACCTCTGTTGACATTTGTTACACCAATCATTTCGTTTTTTCTCACTGAATAAACATGTATGTGTTGGTCCATACATCTTGTCTAAGATAAGATCAATAGTACGTGAAAGTGGAACTCGTGTAAATAAAGACACGATATCAAAAGACACCATTTTCACTTTAGTATTATTTAATTCTAAATTTTGCAGTTCATCAACAAATTTAAATGTATCTGTTACAATAGTTGAGCTAATTCGGAAATATTCTAATTTCTTTGCTAATAATTTAGATAACTTGTAGCTAAATGTATTGCATACTGAGATAATTGGACGCAAAGGAACGCCTTGTTTGTGGATCTTAGGAAGACCATAGGCTTTTCCGAGTTGAGATCCAACAGGACGAGCAAATTTGTACTCACTCTCTGTTAAAAAACCAAAATTTTTTAATTTTAATAATTTCCTCTGTAATTGATCTTCTTTTTGGATGGTAGGGTCCTCATCTAATTGTTTAAAGGTCTTAGATTCGTTCAATACCAATTCCATTTTCTTTATATAATCTGATTTATCAAGAATGACAGCTGCTCGACCTTTGTCTGCCCCTGTAGTATTAATTGTTTTATCTTTAGATAAATTTTTTAATGTTTTAAATATTGGATCTATTTCTTTCTTATATAGTGACATGGTTTTCTTCGCATGTTGTCTAAACGTATCACAAATTTTACGTAGTTTGTTTGCTAAGCAAAGTTGTTCTGGTGTCAAATTATAAGAAATCTTTTCATCAACATCTCGTTCGTCGTATTCAGTTTTATCCGAACAGTAACCAAGTAAATTCACAAATAAAGTCTCAATATTGGCTATGAATGTTTCTTCATCAAATTTTAATGAAGAAAAAATGAAATCGAAACCATTTTCTAATGCTAATACTGCATCAGCAGTTAGGACTCTTTTGGAGTAATTCTTAATAGGGTGTGGGTGTGGGTTGGTTGTAGGTGTGGGTGTGGGTGTGGGTGTGGGTGTGGGTGTGGGTGTGGGTTGGTTGTAGGTGTGGGTGTGGGTGTGGGTGT